TCTGCATCGCGCTGCACCTCCCCGCTGTCCCCCGACCTGGTCTGAAGGCTGGCGGCGGGGAGAAGAGCGCTTCTCCCTGCCGCCAGCCCCACAAGCTCAGGGGACAGCGGGGAGGCGGAGCCTTCAAACCAGGTCGGGGGACAGCGGGAAGGCGCGTTGTGCCTCCCCGCTGCCCCCGGAGCTTGTGGGGCTGGTGGCGGGGAGAAGCTCGGGCTTCCCCAGCCCCGCCCCCCAAAACTAGGTGCGTCCTATGGGCCGGTGTGTCCTATGGGGTGAAAAATGCAGTATGTATTTTGGGACTCCTGCTGTAAAGTGGTGCAATGACACTGATACTCTGCCTACTCTTCTTACAGAGCTGGGAAAGGCGTCTTTTCAGCCATGAAGTTGGGCAAAGCACGTGGTCAAAAAGATGACCACCACAGGAAGCAAGGTAACTCTTTGCACCCTCACCTCCTGGTCTTCTGGGTGGCAGGGAATTGTGACCGCTGAGGCCGTTTGCATTGCATATCTGAGGGGTCCAGGTCCTGGTCAAGGAGAAAAGTATATTGCTGATATTAATATAGTGCAGCTTGAAGAAATTGGATGCATAAAAGCTGACTCCTTGTGGGATGAAAATATTGCCCAGACCCATAAATATGATTCAAGCTTTACTAACAAGAACGTCTCCAAAACAGGTACAAAAACAATCAATGATGCATCCCAACAGTTCCGTAAGATATATGGTTATCAAAGCATAGGTTCAGCATCTTCTTCTTAGAAATATAATATAACTCTGAACAGGTACAGTAAGGTAAAGGTAAAAAAAAACTCCTGGACGGTTAAGTCCAGTCAAGAATCAAAGGTTCTTTCTCTCCTTACAGAGACTTTTCTCTCTCTCCTTACACAGACTCCATTAGCCTGCATTTCATTAGCCTGAGGCTGTTCCTTCTGGAAGACAATCATTAGCACATCTCCCTCTCATTTATCCTGGGAACAAAAGACCCAAAGTCAACTCCCTTCAAAATGGAGATTTGCAACTGAATACCTTAATCATATGATCTAAGGTTAAACACCCACGTGAAAGAACAGAGAACATCAACAGTTAATTATTCACCCAGCTAGAAGCTTAGAGAGCTAATTCTAGCTTTAGTACACCACAACAGAAGTTTCCAATTGTTAAACCCTTTCAGCAATATACATACAGGCATTCCAGCGTGCAATTAAACAATCACACTTAACAAAATATCCCTTGAATTCTTTGCATCTATGGATGCAGCCTCCCAACAACAGCTATTGGATGAATGGAATGGCGGAGAAGTCCATGTCTCCCTGCCTTTATACTCCACAAATCTCAGGAGGAGCCACCAATAGACTAAGAGCTCAGATTAAGAGGTTTAACCATGAATTTGCGTCTCTCTCCATGGCAGATGAACCAGCAGTCCTGGAAGCCGAAGACCTGGACCGGAAGGCGATGCGGCTGGGAGGCGGGCTGGACCCAGACACCATCTCCCTGGCATCGGTCACAGCCGTCACCACCAATGTATCCAACAAGAGGTGAGCAGGCTTGCAAGGCAGGCCAAGGCATAGAGTCCAAAGCTTGTCGTCAATTGCCCTTTACTCAGATTAGACTTATTAACATGAATGGATCAAAGTTAGGTATCATAGAATTGTAGAGTTGGAAGGGACCCCCAGAGGCATCTAGTCCAACCCCCTGCAATGCAGGAATCTCAACTAAAGTATCAATGGCAGATGGTCATCCAATCTTTGCTCAAAATCCTCCAAAGAAGGAGAGTCCACCACCTCTTGTGGCAGTCTGTTCCACGGTCGAACAGCTCTTAACGTCAGAAAGTTCTTCCTCAAAGGATACAGAAACAATGGAAATGTTTAAATGATTATTTATGTAGACAAGGATTAAGTGCAAGGTATTGGTTGTGTTTAGAATAGATTTATGAAAGACTTAGAAAACCTATTGATTAGAAAATTTGTATGAGATTGTATGGGGAAAATACGGAATAACAGATACAAATTTGCTTAAAAGGTACATAGGAAGTGCAGCGTAAGGGATGGAAGTCAATGAAATTTTATTATTGAGGTATTTGTAGAATAAATTTGGAAGAAATTCTTCCAATTTTTCTTCTTATTTTTTCTTTTTCTTTTTCTTTTTTCTTTTCTTCCTTTTTCCTTTTTTGTTCTTTTTTATATATGTGTGCTTATCTGAAAAATGTATGTATATATTTGTATGCATTTTGCTTATATTTTGTAATAATTATGTTAAATAAAATTTAATAATAATAATAAGAAGAAAGTTCTTCCTGATGTTTAGTGGGAATCTCCTTTCTTGTAGCTTGAAGCCATGGGTTCGAGTCCTACCCTCCAGAACAGGAGAAAACAAGCTTGCTCCAGGAGAAGTAGGATGTGCATCACTAGGGGCAAAAGATCTTCTCTTTTCCAGAACCTGCTAAGCAGGGCACAATTCATATATGGAATTCTAATGTCGAGGGGAAAGCTGTCCACCCTCAACTTCTATCAACTTCATGCCTTATGAGGAACGGCTAAGGGAGCTGGGCATGTTTAGCCTGGAGAAGAGGAGGTTAAGGGGTGATATGATAGCCATGTTCAAATATATAAAAGGATGTCACATAGAGGAGGGAGAAAGGTTGTTTTCTGCTGCTCCAGAGAAGCGGACACGGAGCAATGGATCCAAACTACAAGAAAGAAGATTCCACCTAAACATTAGGAAGAACTTCCTGACAGTAAGAGCTGTTTGACAGTGGAATTTGCTGCCAAGGAGTGTGGTGGAGTCTCCTTCTTTGGAGGTCTTTAAGCAGAGGCTTGACAACCATATGTCAGGAGTGCTCTGATGGTGTTTCCTGCTTGGCAGGGGGTTGGACTCGATGGCCCTTGTGGTCTCTTCCAACTCTATGATTCTATGATTCTATGATTCTATCTGGCAAACATAGTGCTGACCTAACTTCTAGGGCTCTTGTGCAGCTTACTGAGATAGTGCTTGTGAACTGTGCTGAGCACTTTTCTGACTGTGATCATTCCTTTTCCAGATCCAAGCCAGATATTAAAATGGAGCCCAGCGCTGGGAGGCCTATGGACTACCAGGTAAGCTGCTTACCGTCTCTCTTTCATGGGGAACCGTCCCTGGTGCACCATCTGCCTTAACACACACACACACACACACACACACACACACACGTATCTGAAGAAGTGTGCATGCACACGAAAGCTTACACCCAGAACAAACAAATAGTTGGTCTCTAAGGTGCTACCGGACTTTTTATTTTTTTATTTTTTTATTTTGACACACACACACACATATTGTTTGGTGAAGAAGTAAAAGTAGTATTTACTTACATAATCTGGGTCTTGAAGCGGCAATTAAAGTAGCTAAATGAAGGCAGGTTTATAACTATTATCTAAGTTCTAAAAGTAAAAAATACCCACATGACCTGAAGGTGCTGCTGTGCAATGCCAGGTCAATGATTCATAAGACCACTGCCATCCATGACTTGATCATGGATGGAGGACTTGACCTGGCATGTGTAACAGAGACTTCGTTGGATGAAGCAGATGGGCCTGTCCTTGCCGCTGCTTGTCCACCAGGTTTCTCTTACGCACAGCAACCCAGGCCTTGTGGGCGGGGAGGGGGGGTTGCAGTGATTTTTAGGAAGTCACTAGCTTGCACCAGGCATCCTACTGGGAAGACCCAGTTCTCTGAGTGCATGTTCTGGAAGTTGGGCAATAGGGGCAGTACAGGATTCCTTTTGGTGTACCAACCTCCCCACTGCACCAAGGATTCCCTGCCCGAGCTGCTTCAGGTCGTGGTGGATGTTCTCCTGGAGACACCTAGTTTGGTCGTCCTAGGGGATTTTAACATCCATGCCGACACGACCTTACAAGGGGCCGCTCGGGACTTCGTGGAAAGCATGGCCTCCATGGGGCTGTCCCTGAATAAGTCTGGCCCAACCCATAGCCGCGGACATGCCTTGGACCTGGTGTTTACCTCTATGGATGTTGGTGATCTGACACTAAGTAAAAGCGAAACGAAAGAAGTGCCATGGTCAGATCACTTCCTGGTGCAACTGGACTTCTCCGCGACCCTTCCCTCTGCAGGGAGGTGGGACCAATTCGGATGGTCCGCCCCGCCACTTAATGGATCCAAATGGTTTCCAGAGAGTGGTAGGGGATGCTTTATCCCATGTTGATGGCCTTTCAGCAGATTCCCTGGTGGCCCGCTGGAATGTGGAGTTAACCAGGGCTATTGACTGTTTGGCTCCGAAGCGCCCTCTCCGATTGCATGAAGCCCGGACAGCCCCGTGGTTTTCCATGGATCTGAGGGCAATGAAACAATTGTTGAGACGGTTAGAGCGCCGGTGGCAGATAACTCATTCCGAATCTGACCGGACACAGGTTAGAGCTCAACGTCTGAAATGGAATACTCAGGATGAAACGGTGAAATCTGCGATGATTAAATGGGCACAAGATGTTGGATATAATATTATGTTTGCTGACTGGGAACAGTTGTGGACCACAGGTATGAAATTTACGGCATGTAATGCCTTAAGAGAAAATATTATGAAAATGATATACAGGTGGTACATAACCCCAGTCAAGCTTGCAAAAATCTATCATGTGCCTGATAATAAATGTTGGAAATGTAAAGAAACGGAAGGTACATTTTTTCACCTTTGGTGGATGTGCCCAAAGATTAAGGCTTTCTGGGAGATGATATATAATGAACTAAAAAAAGGTACTTAAATATACCTTCTTGAAGAAACCAGAGGCCTTTCTCCTGGGCATAGTCGGCCAATTGGTGTTAAAAAAGGACAGAACTTTCTTTATGTATGCTACAACAGCAGCAAGAATACTCATTGCAAAGCATTGGAAGACACAAGATTTACCCACACTGGAGGAATGGCAGATGAAATTAATGGACTATATGGAATTGGCAGAAATGACTGGCAGAATCCGTGACCAGGGAGAAGAGTCGGTGGAAGAAGATTGGAAGAAATTTCCCACATCATTCTAACATTCATTAATTTTGCAATATTTCTGAATATTGCAAAATTAATGAATGTTAGAATGATGTGGGATTGAAGTTAAGTGGTTTCTAGCTGTATAGGTACAAAAGAATATGGAAAAATTGGTTTTTAATTTGTAAAAATCTAATGGTACAATATATCAAGATTAAGGATTAGGATTAAAAAGGAGGGAAAGGAATTGTTGGATTAACAAATTGAATTGTAATACAAAAGAGGGAGGTATGAGGAGGTCCGGGAAACAAGTAAATGTAAAAGAAGTGAGGAAAAGATGGAATTGTTTTTAACTGTTTTTTCTTTTTTTTTCTACTTTGTATTTTTCCTTTTTATTGTTAATTTTTTTTATTAATGTGATTTTTTTCCCTTTGAAACTTTAATAAATATTATTATAAAAAAAACACAACGCCGAGCCTACCAAGTGGCGATAGCGACGGCGAAGAAGAATTTCTTCACCGCCTCTATTGCATCTGCAGAAAACAGCAGCAGGAGACTATTTCAGGTGGTTCACAATTTAGCGGAACCACCTGCAACATCGGGGCCCAGTACGGGCCACATGTTCTCCTGCAATGATTTTGCAAAGTTTTTTGCAGATAAAATCGCTCAGATTCGGGAAGAAGTAGACTCCACCGTGGGAGCAGGGCCGGGGCGGGAGAGTGCTAGAGTTTTGTCTAGTCAAGTTGCGTGGGATCAATTCCAATCTGTTACCTCCGAGGATGTGGACAGGCTGCTTGGACGAGTGAAACCAACCACCTGTCTCCTGGATCCTTGCCCATCCTGGCTTATAAAAGCTAGCCGGGAAGGACTGGGCGATGGGCTTCATGGGGTGGTGAATGCTTCCCTCCGTGAGGGAGCCTTCCCAGACCCGCTGAAAGAGGCGGTTATTAAACCGCTTCTTTAAAAACCATCTTTAGATGCGGCCACGATGGCCAACTATCGCCCAGTCTCAAATCTTCCATTCTTGGGCAAGGTGATTGAGCGAGCGGTTGCTGAACAACTCCAGGCACGCCTGGAAGAAGCGGACCATTTGGATCCCTTCCAGTCGGGATTCAGGCCTCATCATGGGACTGAAACTGCTTTGGTCGCACTGGTTGATGATCTCCGGCGGGCTAGGGACAAAGGTGAGAGCTGTTTCCTAGTTCTGCTGGATCTCTCAGCGGCGTTTGATACCATCGACCATAACATCCTTCTGGACCGTCTAGAGGGGCTGGGAGCTGGGGGCACTGTCATACAGTGGTTCCGCTCCTTCCTCCTGGGCCGTGTTCAGAAAGTGGTGGTGGGGGATGAGTGTTCAGACCCCTGGGCTCTCACTTGTGGGGTGCCTCAGGGTTCTGTCCTCTCCCCCATGCTTTTCAACATTTACATGCAGCTGCTGGGAGAGATCATCAGGAGGTTTGGGCTGGGTGTTCATCAGTATGCGGATGATACCCAGCTCTGCCTCTCTTTTAAATCAGAACCAGTGAAGGCCGTGAAGGTCCTGTGTGAGTGTCTGGAGGCAGTTGGAGGATGGATGGCGGCTAACAGATTGAGGTTGAATCCTGACAAGACAGAAGTACTGTTTTTGGGGGACAGGAGGCGGGCAGGTGTGGAGGATTCCCTGGTCCTGAATGGGGTAACTGTGCCCTGAAGGACCAGGTGCGCAGCCTGGGAGTCATTTTGGACTCACAGCTGTCCATGGAGGCACAGGTTAAATCTGTGTCCAGGGCAGCTGTTTACCAGCTCCATCTGGTACGTAGGCTGAGACCCTATCTGCCTGCGGACTGTCTCGCCAGAGTGGTGCATGCTCTGGTTATCTCCCGCTTGGACTACTGCAATGCACTCTACGTGGGGCTACCTTTGAAGGTGACTCGGAAACTACAACTAATCCAGAATGCGGCAGCTAGACTGGTGACTGGGGGCGGCCGCCGAGACCCTATATCACCAGTCTTGAAAGACCTACATTGGCTCCCAGTACGTTTCCGAGCACAATTCAAAGTGTTGGTGCTGACCTTTAAAGCCCTAAACGGCCTCGGTCCAGTATACCTGAAGGAGCGTCTCCACCCCCATCGTTCTGCCCGGACGCTGAGGTCCAGCGCCGAGGGCCTTCTGGCGGTTCCCTCATTGCGAAAAGCAAAGCTACAGGGTACCAGGCAGAGGGCCTTCTCGGTAGTGGCGCCCACCCTGTGGAACGCCCTTCCAGCAGATGTCAAAGCGATAAACAACTACCTGACATTCAGAAGACATCTTAAGGCAGCCCTGTTCAGGGAAGTTTTTAACGTGTGATATTTTACTGTATTTTGGTTTCTATGGAAGCCGCCCAGAGTGGCTGGGGAGGCCCAGCCAGATGGGCGGGGTATAAATAATAAATTATTATTATTATTATTATTATTATTATTATTATTATTATTTTCTAAAAGTAAAAAATAGGCAGCCCCGTATAGGGAAGTTTTTTTATTGTGCAATGTTTTATTATGTTTTTATATATGTTGGAAGGTGCCCGGAGTGGCTGGGGCAACCCAATCAGATGGGCAGGGTACACATATTAGTACAATTTTTTATTTCTTCTTCCTCTTCTTCTTCTTCTTCTTTGTTCAAAAATGGTGCCTGAACTGCAGAGCTCAGACATGCTTGTATGGTCAGCTTGGAAACATGATGAAGAAAGAAAAGGCTGACCAGGCAGGAAGGAAGGATGTAGTGTTACAGTTTCCTGCCAAAGCAGACAAAGGAAATGATGTCACAGAGTGCTCTCTAGCAAATTTGTCGGGAAAGCTCTCTGAGCCTCAGCCCATCTGGCAATACATGAATTGCTGGTTTGACTGCAATGATGCCCCGCAGCTCCCTTTAGGGACAAGAGCGGGGAGAGGGAATAAAGGAAGATGGCGCCCAACTCTGAGTGGCCCAGGTCACGGCTAACCACCTCTTCTCCGACTAGGTCAGCGTCACGGTCATTGAGGCGCGGCAGCTGGTGGGGCTCAACATGGACCCCGTGGTCTGCGTGGAGGTGGGGGACGAGAAGAAATATACGTCCATGAAAGAATCGACCAACTGCCCCTACTACAATGAGGTGAGGTCTCTGCCTGTGCTGTGTGGATAAGCCCTGTGTCTCCTTTGCAAGAGGCTGGGCTGGGCGGGACTGATCCATCCCACATGTGCGTAATGACAATTCTAACTTAATAATAATAATAATAATAATAATAATAATAATAAATTTTATTTATATCCCGCCCTCCCCAGCCGAAGCCGGGCTCAGGGCGGCTAACAACAATAAAACAGTACAAAAGTACAGCACAAACAACACTCTAAAATCATTCATTATAAGATTAATTAATTCAAGCCACTGGCAACCATTGGGCCAGAAGATTGCCGAGGGAGGGAGTCAGGCTGTGCCCTGGCCAAAGGCCTGGTGGAACAGCTCTGTCTTGCAGGCCCTGTGGAAACATGTCAAATCCTGCAGGGCCTAGTCTCTTGGGACAGAGCATTCCACCAGATCGGAGCCACAGCCGAAAAAGCCCTGGCTCTAGTTGAGGCCAGTCTAACTTCTCTGTGGCCTGGTACCTTCAAGTTGTTTTTATCTGAAGACCGTAAGTTTCTCTGTGGGGCATACCAGGAGAGGCGGTCCCGTAGGTACGAGGGTCCTAGGCCGTATAGGGCTTTAAAGGTTAAAACCAGCACCTTAAACCTGATCCTGTACTCCACCGGGAGCCAGTGCAGCTGGTATAGCACCGGGTGAATGTGATTCCGCAGCGAGGACCCCGTAAGGTGTCTCGCTGCAGCATTCTGCACCCGCTGGAGTTTCTGGGTCAGTCTCAAGGGCAGCCCCACGTAGAGCGAGTTACAGTAATCCAGTCTGGAGGTGACCGTCGCGTGGATCACAGTGGCGAGGTCAGGGCGAGAGACATAAGGAGCCAACTGCTTAGCTTGGCGGAGATGGAAAAATGCCGCCTTTGTTATAGCTGCAATCTGCGCCTCCATGGAAAGGGAGGTGTCGAAGATTACACCCAAACTCTTAACGGACGGTGCTGGCACTAACTGCGCCCCCGCAAGAGATCGGAGTTGCCCCCCCCAAACCCATATCGCCCTGACCTAGCCACAGGACCTCTGTCTTCGAAGGATTTAGCTTCAACCGGCTCCCACGTAACCATCCAGCCACAGCTTCCAAACATCTGGTCAGTGTGTCTGGGGCCGAGTCAGGATGGCCATCCATCAACAGATGGATTAAAGTTAAAAATTAAGTTAAAAATTCTGCAAAAGGAATGTTTCAGTGCAGCAATGCAGCAAAGGACCCAAACCCAGTGCTTTGGGTTGCACAGTGCATCACCAGTTGCAGAGTGTTCTTATGCTCGAATGCTGACATTTGAATGTCTTGCTAAGAAAAAAAATGATTTAAAAAACCCACCACTTTTTCAAAATTCAAGAATCCCCACCCCCTTCATATTTTGAGGGAATTGTAGAATTTCACACTTATTTCTGCCTTGGCCATGGCAGCGGAACATCGAGATTCTAGAACAGCCTTTCTCAGCCTTGGGTCCCCAGATGTTCTAGAACTACAACTCCCATCATCTCTGACCACTGGTCATGCTGGCTAGGAATGATGGGAGTTGTAGTCCAACAACATCTGGGGACCCAAGGTTGAGAAAGGCTGTTGCGTGGTGAGTTCCCACCTCCCCCCAGTGGAAATAAAGGCACATGACACAGATATTTAAGGTTAATGGGCTAAATATGGCCACAACTTTATTGGTTACAGGTGATGAGTGGTATTGGCTTAGGCATTGGTCCTAACCAACTATGCGGCTTCAGCCTGTTCACTTGAAGTCCGGGAAGGGTTCACTTGAAGTCCCCATCAGTAGGGGGAGTCCTGCTGATGCACATCAACTAGGAACTCCCCCAGGGTCACCGCTCGGGGGCGTGCCTTAGGCCCTCACCTCCATAGGCTTCAGACAGGGCTACGCCCCCCGGAATCCTTTATCATATTACCCTCAATATGTGGGTACCCTCCCTTCATCTACATAACAATACCAATACTGCCAATACCAAGGAAGTTGTGATGATTTGCTACGAGGTAGGCGAAAAACCAAGCGG